TCAGGTGTGTCAGGGTTCAGGTGTGTCAAAGTTCAGGTGTGTCGGGGTTCAGGTGTGCCAGGGTTCAGGTGTGTCAAAGTTCAGGTGTGTCAAAGTTCAGGTGCATCAGGTTCAGGTGTGTGCAGCTTTAGACTGAATGAAAGTGTTTAAATTGTTCTGAACCCAACAAACGGGTCCATTCTGCCAGGACATGTTCAGGCTGCTGTTGTTACATCGTGTTGTTTTACATTATTAACGTTTAGCGTATATCTTAGATCCTTATTTACTGTTTCTTTTTATACTTTATGATTTTGCTATTTTTGGTTGTAATGGGACCCTGAGTACATAATTTCGTTCCACCTCATGTACCACGTGTTGGAAACAACAATGAAGTTGAACTTGAGGAAGACGCAGTCTCTGTGGAACATGAGCTGTTTTTATTGCACAACAGCAGAACCACAAGTCTTTTGGCTGACTTCTAAATCCCCATCAGGGTTTCTCTGAGCACCTTGGCAACCGCCTACGGAAGCCCCACTAGGACAATTAGGCCAATCTCACATTCAGAGGAACAGTTCCAGACATCTTCCTTTCATTTCTGTCTGTGACGTCAGTCTGAAGCAGTTAAATGTTTTCAGGTTGCTAACTGACTTTTACCAAAATGAAAACAGATTTCCACTAAAAAATACAGAAACTGATTTAATCAAGTTTGTGTTTTTAGCTTTTAGCTACAAGTTTGCTAATTTTAAAATTAAGCTGTTTTATTAAAGTTTTAGCTTCTGTTTAGCTAAATTTAACTTTTAGCTGCTGCATCCTTGGCTTTGGCTTTTAGTAAATGTTTTGATGTTTTTAGCAATGAGCTGTAGTTTTGCTCATTTAAATTTTAGCTACAGATTTACTAGCTGAAACTTTTAGTTGCTGTTTTGCACATTTTTTGTTTTAACTGCAAGTTCCATCATTTTAGCTTTAGGCTGTCTTACTTGTTTTAGGCTTTAGCTACTGTTTCTGATTTTAGCTTTTATTTTATTTTTTGCCAGTTTTAGCTTTAAACTGCTGTTTTGTTAAACTTAGCTTTACTGCAAGCTGCACCTGCAGCACACGACAACAACAACAACAACAACAACAACAAGAAGTTTGTATTCGTTGAGAAAATTCAATATAAACGCTGAATACCTGCTGAATACCTGCTGAAATCTGCTGAAATCTGCTGATGAAGCTGAGACTGAGTTTTCAAAGTTAAAACAAGCTAACAGAAGCTGAAAACTTAAGTCTGCAATGAAGTAGCTAATAGCTTAAAAGCTAAAACTGGCTAAACAGCAGCTGAAAGCTAAAGCCAACAATGCAGTTGGAACTTTTGCTGATTTTGTGATATTTTCTGTCACTTCCTGTTCTGTAACAACATATTTAAAGTGAATAATATCGGTGGGGGGTTAAGGAAAATGTTTCTAAGTGAACGTCAGCTCGGAGGTTCTCCTCGGACTCGTTTCTCCTCCTTGGCCTCCTGCAGGAGAACCGGTCGGTCCAGAGGAGCGGCGTCCTCACCTGAAGCTGAAGACGTTTCTCTCTGCCGCTGATTTCACAACAAATCTCACTTTTAATTCACTTTTATAAACATTGACATCATTTCATGTTGAAGAAAAACACAGACAGGATTGTAAAGAGCAACATTTTATTATTAAACACAAATAAAACATAATTCTTTAAGTCAGACCAGATGTCGAACACAAACACAACAAACAATTCATCATCTGCAAACAAACAAACATTTACAAACGGTTCAGGTCAAATATTTATAACGAGGAGCAAAAACACTTCAAATGCCTCGTTTATGTAAAATAACATTAAATAAACTAATAAATACCTAAAAACTTATTTACATTTCTCTGGTAGTTAATTGTTAATTTCATGTTTATTTCTTTAGAAACAGAAATGTTGATAAAAATTATTTTCAAGTGAATAAATAAATTAAAACCAATAAAAACTATAAAACTGTTCATAAAACCAACAAATACAAAAATAAATATAAAATATTAACAAGAATTATTGTGTTTC